ATAGTTACACAAACAATATTATTTCATATTTATTTGCTCGTTAATAAAGTCTCACAGTTTATAGTCTATTTATATTTTCAAAATCTATATGAAGTTAATTTTAGTATCAACGCGCCCTGGCCTTGTCCACACATAAGCGCAAAATAAAGGTTGAATTATATTCAACTAAAGAAATCCTTCTAAGCAACACCTTCAAAAACAATTAAGACAATGCAGCGCTGGCAAATCAAAACGCAATAAAAATGCAACTATCAAATATGCATTTCTATGTAGACGGAAAATGTGTGGCTGCGGTAAACGTGCCTCCGCGAATGCTTCGAATGTTGGGCCTGCAAAAAGGGGTGTGCCTGAGGCGATCGGGCCGTTTATGGTGTATGTGATTAAATGCTGAAATTTCATTGAAATTGACGGAATTTGCCACAAACGCCACGATGAATCGCAATCAAGAGAATTGAATTCAATGAACAATTAAAATAAGAAAACAAAATCAACTTAAATTGAAAAATATGAATAACAAAAATATTAATATTTAAGAAAAAAGCCAACAAACAAACTTATGAATATACTGTATATGTCGATAGAGAAGTACTGATTTTTTATTGTTGGATATGTGTGAATGTATGTTTGTAATTACAAATAATTCTTTTTAATTATTTATCATGTGGCCTCATCTAATGCGCGAATATGTATGTGTGTATGCAAACAACGCTTGTGTATGTGTACATGTGCATGCGATTGGACTCATATAGCAACTGGTGGGTTTAGTTTTTCATTTGCGGTTAATTCGTATTTCTGTTATTTTTTATTTGCTTTTATATCGAAATTATATGCATATAGACATGTGTGAATGTACTACGTGTATATGTATGTATGTGTTATTTGCCAGTCATGGCTGCGGTGTCGTGTATTTTTTGCTGTTGTTGTAGTTGCCGTAGTCGATTGGAGGCTCGTCTCTCGTTCGCTTGACGTCAAAGCCACTGATGGCTTTGCCTCCTATTTGACTTTACGTATACATAACATAGCCCAGCATACATATACATATGTACATATGATATATGTATATGTAAGTTTTTAGCAAATGTGTGTGTGTGCGCTTGCACGTGAGTGAACGTAACGCTGTGTCACATTTACAAATACTATCGAACAATATAAAAATATATGACCGTATGTGTGTATGTATTATATACAGAAATAGAAAAAACAAACAGAAACAAAAACAAATGATATTGCAAAAAAGTAAGAAAAATATTAAATGAAAAACTACTGTAAGGAAAAACGAAAGAAAATAAGCAAAAATCGATGGAAAAAAGCCAACACCGACACTACAAAATGGTACTACAATGATCGCCGATCTGTTAGCCAGTTTGAGACTGGTGCCGATGGTTGCTGCCGCTGCCGCGATGCATGTGATTCATTTGTCAACACACTGCATTGGTACATACATACATATGTATGTATGTATGCACGTGTAGATGTTCGTTTGGGTAAATTTGTACTTGCTGGCACAATTAGGAAGGCAAAGTGCGGAACGTGAGCAACAAAGTGTTGGCAACGTGTGACTTTCTGCACACCAATGCATACATATAATTATAGAGTTATACATATCTACAATGGTATGAACATATAAATGTATGTTAAGTGCACACGTCGGCATGCTCACGTATGCGAAAAATACGTATACCATTGGTTAAAGATGAACACTGCAACATGTTAACGCTGAGATCACATCCCCCTAAGAATGATGCAACACTTTCTCGAAAAATTTAGATGCTTCTATAAATTATAAGAGTAAAAGTGTATACAATTTGATAGATTTTCTTAATACAATTGTAACCTTCTCTACGAAAAGTACCAAAAGAACAGTCAAAATTTGATTCCGAAAAAACGTTCAACTTTTATAGCGCTTTGGGTCTTAAAACTGCTGTAGACAAAAGCAAAGAAGCCCATCGAAACGAGGCAAGTGTTGCTATTTATGTCTATTTATATATTGCTTTTTATAGTTATTACCGATATCCTGGCTTCAAAACTTCACGATCACTTGTTATAGACGTAGCACACAGGCAGTATTTCTATCAAATAGTAGATATCTTATACATTTTTTTAAACAACTTTTTTAATCAAGCAATTTCCTACTGGTAAGCGTGTGGTCTATACATATTGCACACAAGTACAAATTATTCACCAATATGCTATATTTAGCTTTCGCCAAAAAATTCCGCCAACCGTATGCCGCCAGCAAATTTATATATCCACAGTAATTTGCACTTACTCAATATGAACTTTGTGCTGTGCTTTCAGCGCCAACCACTCCCCGACAATTACCGGTCGCACGCTTCTCTTCATGACTTTAAAAATATGTATGTATAGTATCTATTGGCAGCTATGCGTTGCTCTTCATTTACCCTTACGCTAGTTCAACGATTGACTTTGTTGAGCCGAAGGGAAATTTCACACGCAGCAGATTCACACCATTTGCCTTGTACCCTCTCAGAGCGCCCGCTTATTTTCCAATTTAATTAGTAAAGAAACGCAAAATGGCAGGGGCAAATTTTCGCTGATTCTCCCTAATTTGCGACTATCTAATTCGCGTCTTCTAAAGTATGTAGATTTGCATGTAAGCACTAAGTGGCGATGTGTAAAAAAATATATTTACAATTTATATGTAGGTATGTGTATGTGATATATAATATTTTGCCATGCATATACATACTATAATATCCAGTATGTGTAGTCATTATCCCAACATTTCTTATTACTCAAAAAAAAACCGTTATATTCACTAGGATTTCAAGTTAACGGTTTTCAAGCCCTAGGTTTCGAAGCTTAAAACTTTCCTAAGATCTTGCAATGATATCAGTCAGAAGTACTACTCAAACATTTACATAAAAACGACCATTCGACGCTTCGATAGAATAATTTAAAATCGGTTTCTGATAATCAAATTGGCAAATTCAGAAGCCCTTCTCAAAGTGGGCTATTAATTTCTGAGGAATTTTATAGTTTTGCGTCACTTTCAGTCTCAAAACAGAAACAGAGTTAATGGAAAGTTTAGAAAAATAAAAATATTTATTAAAAATAGTTTGTTCAAGGAAATTTATTTATCAGTTCTTTAACAATACGCAGTTTAATGAACAATAAATTCACGTTTGAAACAACTAACTAAAAGTAAGTGCCTTAAACGCTAAATAACTACCACTTGAAGTGAACCCTGTCTAGACCTTCTTATAATACTTAAGTTGTATGCGTCATACATTTAATACTGTTAATATATTTACTTATATATTGTTCATATGTACGTATCTAAGTATTTGAATTTGTAATTTATTTGCATATTTCTTTCATAGTCAACGCCGTTCATACCGCAATTATTTAACCAAAACAGCACTTAACACACTGCAAAAGTTAAAATTAGAAAAACTTTTAAAATTGTAAATATTTGTGTTTGTTTGTTTGGTTTGTTAAAAAATTAAAAATCAATAAAGACTTAGTTAATTTATGTAAAAAATAATAAAAAGAAAAATAATAA